AGGAAGGAAGGAAGGAAGGAAGGAAGGAAGGAAGGAAGGAAGGAAGGAAGGAAGTTCCATGCAAACCCTGTAAACTCTCCTGCCCACCCACAGGGGTCTCTCATTTTTATCCCAATTTGACAGACAAGGAAACCAAGGCTCTGAGCAGTGAAGTGAAATGCCCAAGGTCACCCAGCTAGGACACCCAGAGATGAGGAAGCATCCCTCTATGCCTCTATTCCTGCCCTGACTCGCCTGGATGATGGGCACTGACCTGAAAGAGGAAGCCAAGTAAACACTTTCCTCCTGGAAGAAGAACCACTTTTGGTCGGAACTTGTATCACAGCAACACAGAAGCAAAACAGGACAGAGGGACTTTGCAGAGAAAGTCAAGGAAAAGGAGGATCGGGGGCTCTCTCAGAGCACATCTTGGATGGCTGGGCATGCAGAAGTCACCACCTATTCAACAGCCATTGTTCACAGGACATGCCCCTCCTGAAAAGGTGCACGCTGGAGTCAGGAGGCACTGGGACTCTCATGGGGCCCAAGCTGAGGTCCAGACAGCAAACATGAGAGACTATGCCCACATAGAGATGAAGAGAAAACCTTCAAGCTGGGGACCCCAGACCATTTCTATCAAAACAAATGCTTTCAGCTTTGACTGACCTCTACTGCTATTAGTCAATCACTCAGGAGCTGCTTGCATTGTGTCACTTAAGCATTGAGACAGCGGCGAAAGAATGGCCCTATTCCTATCAGAACTTTGATTGCAGATCCTAACATTTGAACTTCATGTCACTTTTGTATGCCATGATATAGTCAGCTTTGAAATTTTCTCTGCCTGTTTAAACACCTAAAAAAAACTGTTCTTAGCCCAATGCCAAGCAGCCATAGGAGAAGCCAGAGAGTGCAGCAGCTGAAGGTTCGTGACTTCAGCTCCTCAGTGTGGAGTAGGCTGCATCTAGGAAGGCCTTGACCCTGTGGGAAGCTGAGTCACGAGTCCTCCACTGAGGGGTGCAAACCAGTGGATCCTTCCCAGCTGTCTGTGCACAATTCCCCGCTTTGAGACACTGTTCATCAGAACTATACAATACCAACTCATCAAACTCATCTGCAATAAGTATAGCAATCACAAGAAACTCTCCCATTTTAGAGATGGGGCAGCCAAGGCTTAGGACCAGGGTACTTAGGAAAAAGATGAGAGTTAAAGACAAGGGCCACCTGAATCCCAAAGCAGAGCTTGGCAGGAACCACCCCCTTCATGGATCAGTCCTTGACCTCTAGAAAAATGTTGGGGACCTCTTTAGTTCCCTCAGTGCTTCTCACTTCCTGAGGTGAGGTTTGCTCGCACAGCTCCCTCCAATCCCAGGGAAGGCTCAGGGATGAGACAGAGTAGGGTTCCCAGGAACCTCAGAGGCTGAGCCTGCTGCTGCTGATGATGATGATGGATGGAGGTGGGAGGGGCCCCTCCCAGGAATGAATGGTGTGTGACTCTGCCAGTGTGAGTGATAAGTTGCTTGCACCCAGAAAAGTCCAAAGTAAATAAAAGTCCCCGTGATGAGGAGTAGGTGCTGGCAAGGAGTGGTGGCAGCAGGGATCCAGATTAGCTGAGTGCCAGGAACAACAGCCATTTTGCTTTGGCCAGTGGGAGAGTGACTGGGTAACGAGTGGGTGAGGGCTCGCCTCCTCATTAAACCAAACAATTAAACCATCTGCAGCAAGCAGGGTTGTCAACAATGTCAAAACCCAAGCAATTAACAGGGCAGCTTAGATTTATGTCCCCAACAAAGAGCTGCAGAAAGTCTAGGACCCATGGCCTGGTGCCAGCAGCCCTTCTCAGAGGCGGAAGGGGGGGGGTTGCTGTTTGCCACTCGGAAGCAATGGTTCCAGATCAAACAAGATACTCCTGGCACCAGCTGGAGTGCCTGCATTTTCCTTTTGATGCTTTGGGAGGACAGAAGCATTTGCTTAGCTCTACACTGGGACTAGAAGCTTTTTCAGGGGTTATCCAAGAAGCCAAAGGGGGTGGGCCTGTCCCCCCCCCCACTCGAGCCATCCCTGTCTCACATGCTTGACATCTATGAAGACTGGCTAAGTAGGTACCTGTTCTGACCACCGGGACACAAAGGGTGGAAGAACAGAAGGCTGGGGAGGCAGCTCAGTGGTTCGGAGTGCTTGCTGCTGTTACAAAGGATCCAGGTTTGGTTCCTGCCACCTATGTCAGGCAGCCCACAACCACCTGTAATTCCAGCTTCATGAGCTCCAACACCCTCTTTTGAGTTACAAGGTCACTCACTCACTCCACACACACACAATATCTGAGTGTGATATCACATGGGCCAAGCCACCTCTGGGTTTTCCCAAGCCAACTGGCCACATAAACAGTCCCTCTAAGCCCTCTGGGGCTCAAGAGGAGAAAAATCCAGGCTTCAGCCAGCAACTGGAAGGTGAAAACAATTCACTTCTGCAGGACCCAGTTCCCTGCTGCCCCAGTGCCTCACTTCCACGTTGGGATTGCGCCAACAGCTATAGCAGAAAAGCTAGCTTCTCCCATGGCGGCCTCATGGCCCTATACCCAGCTAACGGAAACCCCTCCCTCCACCAGGAGCCCCAAATCGCCTCTCTGTGCTGATGCACAAAAGCAACCACAGTCCAATCTACCAACCCCTCCTGCCCTACTGATGGACTCAGGTGACAGCCCCAGGATCCAAGTCTACTTTGGAATCATCTAGCCCAGTGGTTCTCAACCTGTGGGTCACGATCCCTTTGTAGGTCACGATCCCTTTGTAGGTCACAGGGGTCACTTAAGACCATCCAAAAACAGATATTTACATTACGATTCATAACAGCAGCAAAACTACAGTTACGCGGTAGCAACAGAAACAACTTTAAGGTTGGAGGTCACCGCCACATGAGGAACTATATTCAAGGGTCTCAGCGTTAGAAAGGTTGAGAAGCATTGTGCTAGGACTTCTGGTTCTTTCTATTGGGTCAGTGGTGGGCCTGGCCTTCGAAATTTTTTTCAATTGTTTGGTGACATCATCTCTGTTTACATGTAAGAAGGCTGGAGGACTGAAGGGGCAGAGGCAGGAAGAGGCTTAGGAAGGAGAGTGTCTGCTTCTGAGAGCTATGATTTCTATTGGGCTTTGGATCATGTGAAGAGACCGTGAGGGGATGAGCATGGTGGCTTCTGTATTGGGCTGGAACTGGTGCTCACCCACCTTCCCCTGGTACCTAGCTTCCACTCACACAGGCACACACAAAACTCACACTTCCTCTCCTCTGCTCCTTGTGCTCAGGGCTCCTTTGACTGACAGAGTGTCTGTTCCCATAAGTCACAGGGAAGAGTCAGGCACCTTTCCTCCACAGGCCTGGAGGTGGAGACCTGGAGAGAGGTTTCCTCTTAGGCCTGTTCTGACCATGTGGGACTGGGTGGTGCAGCACAGGGAAACTGGCTCCAAGAGCCAAGTCAACCTGACCGCCTTATTCATTTATCCTGACCCATGTTAGCAGCCTGAGGAGCCACATATTCCCAGGAGTGTGTGTGTGTGTGTGTGTGTGTGTGTCTGTTGGAAAGTGGGCCTCATAAGCACTTCCACACACACACACACTGCTGTGTGTCAAACAAGGATGCTGTTTCTGACTGTCCCCCGTACTTCTCAGAATAAAGGCTATCCTTTTTGATGGCCAAACACTGGCCAGTTCTCAAAGAGTTCCAAACCTAGTGAGAGTTCACTGAGCAGCCCCTACACCACTGGGCACAACAGGGCCTTGCCTGGAACTCTTCTCAAGCACTCAGTGTTGCTAACGGATTTCCATTCTCTGCTATTACGGTTTGGGTGTAAATGTCTCACAGCTCGCCATGTGGGAGGCTCTGTCTCCAGCCAGAGGTGCTGTTGGGAAGTGACTGGATCCTGACAGCACTAACCTCATCGATGGGTCAGTCCATTGACGAGCTTGAGCCAAATGGGCTATTGTAAAGTGGAGACTGCTGACTCCTTCCCCACTTCCTGGATAAAGAGGTGAGCAGCTTGCTTGGCCACAATCTCCTCCACCATGATGTTCTCCTCACCTCAGGTCCAGAGCAGCAGAGTCAGACTGAGCCATCTAAAGCTGTGAACCAATTTAAAAACCTCTCATCCTTTTGGTTGTTTTTCTTCTGGCATTTTCTCCCAGAGATAGAAATCAGCACACTGGCTTATTATCGAAATTTTTTTTTCCCCAACAGGTGGTGGCACATGCCTTTGATCCCAGCGCGCAGGAGGCAGAGGCAGGTGGGTTTCTGTGGGTTGGAGGCCAGCCTGGTCTACATAGTGAGTCCAGGCAAGCCAGAGCTACACAGTGAAACCCTATCTCAGAAACAAATAATTACACTCACTTCAGGAACCCCCAAGCTAGCACAGTAACAGAGAAACAGGGATCATGAAGGTCAATTCCCAGGGTGCCTGGCTGAAGCAAATACACAGATCTGCTAAGGATAGGTGTAGAGGTGACCTTCACATTACATTAAGGTGTGTCTCTGTATTTTCAATTATTAATTGCTGAACCAGCAAACTGCTATAAATGATAAGAGACCAAAGTTAAAATTACAATTAGATGGAGTTGAGATTGAAGGCTTAGTGGATACCAGAGAAGTTGTAACAATAATTTCACAGGATTCTTGGAATCCAGCCTGGCCATTTCAAAACGTTTTATCTACACAGCTCCTAAGAACTGAGACATTATGTCAAATAAAACAAAGTCTAAAATGGATTAAATATATAGGACCAGAAGGTCATGTAGGAAGATTAAGGCCATATGTGGCAAATATAGCCATGAATTTATGGGGAAGAGATCTATTGCAACAATGGGAAAGCATTCCTCCAAACTTCAGGAGCAAGCCATAGAATAGAAGACGTTCCTGATAAAGGTATTAAAAAATGTTATCAACTGTCCAGGCTGTCCATAGCAGGACACAGCAGAGGTTGGCTCTCCAAATGTACAAGGAGGGCCACAGCTAATGGTGTACCAACTGCCCTACCATTAAAATGATTAACTAACAGCTGGCATGATAACACACACCTTTAATCCCAGCACTCAGGGAGGCAGAGACAGTCGAATTCAAGGCTGTGAGTTCAAGGCCAGCCTGGTCTACAGAGTAATTCCAGGACAGCCAAGGCTGCACAGAGAAATACTGCCTGGGGTGTGGGGCGGGGGGGGGGGGGTTAACTGACAAGTCTTTTTTGGTAGAGCAATAGCCTTTAAGTGAGGAAAAGTTATAGGCACTATAGCAGCTGACCCAAGAGCAGCTGGAGGGCCAACTTATTGAGGAGTCTACCAGACCATGGGATTCTCCTGTATTTGTCATTAAAAAGAAATCTGGAAAATGGAGACTGTTAACAGATCTAAGAGCAACTAATAAAGTAATTCAGCCGATGAGTTCCTTACAACCAGGAATCCCTTTAGCTTCCTTGTTATCCTATGGCATGGCCTAGTATAGTAACTGATTTTAAAGATAGCTTTTTCTCAATACCCCTTGAGGAACAAGATAAAGAAAGATTTGCTTTCCCCTTGTGTAACTGCAAAAAAACAAAAGATACTTGCCACAAGGAATGTTAAACAGCTCCACCTTGTGTCAATATTTTGTATAGCCATTAGAAATAATTCGAAAACATTTTCCTCAATCTAAAATGTATCATTATATGGATGATATCTTACTGGCTGATTCAGATGCAGATGCCTTTGAAAAAAATATTTGATGAAGTAAAGAGAATTTTGCCTTGCTGGGGATTACAAACTGTTCCTGAAAAATACAAGGAGGAGATCCTATCAATTATCTAGGATATAAATAGGTTTAAAGAAAATTCGCAGGGGTGTTTTCTGAGACTGATACTTCAGCCAAGGACCATTCATGGAGGTAACCTAGAATCCCTGCACAGTTGTAGCCCATGGCAGCTCAGTGTCCAAGTGGGTGCCCTAGTAATGAGAATAGGGACTGTCTCTGACATGAACTCAGTGGCTGGCTCTTTGATCACCGCCCCCCCCCCCCCCCCGTGGCGGGGAGCAGCCACAGAGGAAGACAATGCAGCCAGTCCTGATGAGACGTGATAAACTAGGATCAGATGGAAGGGAAGGAAGACCTCCCCTATCAGTGGACTGGGGGAGGGGCATGGATGGAGAAGAGGGAGGGGGTTGGGAAGGAAAGAGGGAGGGAGCTACAGGTGGGATACAAAGTAAACAAACTGTAATTAATGAAAATAAAAATAAAATATAAAAAAAAGAAAATTCGACCAAACAAAGTACAAATTAGTGAGATCAATTACAAACTCTTAATGATTGTCAAAACTTGCTGGGAGATACTAACTGGATACAACCCACAACTGGATTAACTACTCAAGAGCTAAGCAATTTATTTCAAATTGATAAGGACTTAAATAGTCCTAGAAAACTATCAGCTGAGGCTGAGAGAAAATTGGCTCTGGTAGAAAAGAGATTACAGGGCGTGCATGCAGATCACTTGGATCCAAAGCTTGACTGTATTTTGGTTATTTTGCCTTCTTTGTCTTTCATTTTGGCTGGCTGGCCACCAGGGTTTTAGGACAGGTTGGTTCAGCTGTAGGGATGTGCACCATGCCCTGATGGAATAAGCTCAGCAGGAAACCACAGCCACAGGGAAGCAATCCACACATACATATGACAGCAAGCGTCCACCCCTGCTGCTTCTGCTGCTGGACATAATACTTACTGACAAATAAGAACACAACCCCACTGCAGGCAAAGGGACTCTTTTTTTTTTTTTTTTTAAGGAAAGGAACAGGCAGAGATTCTAAAGACCCATTAAGAAAAGCAGAATTTCTTAAAAGTAATCATTTAGCGCAGTAACTGAGCGAACCGCTGCAAACAAAAGCCAGGATGAGGAAAGGGAATGGGCAGAAGGACTAGGGTAAGGATGGAAGCGGCGTCAGATGGACCTAAGGGATGAAGTAGAGAAACCCAAAGGGAATAAAAGAAGGGGAGTGGGAGGAAGGAAGGGTAGGAAGGATGGAGGGCAAAGAGAAGCCATGGGGGACATGAACAGCACAATCTGTCAGTTCATACACGTGTTTATTGAACATCCACAAGTGTATGAAGCCCTGAGCAACTGTGGGATGTGGATAAGAGGTGGAAGGCTAGGTGGACAGGTAGGTGCAAGGCTGGTGGATGGGTAACCAGGCGCTGGATGGATCAACAAGAGAGTGAGAAGCCGGAGAGTAGACAGTGAGGTGATGGGCAAGAAAACAGATGGAAATGATTAGCACATAAAACGATGGTTTGACGATGAGTAGATGGGTGGGGCGGATGGCCCAGTGGTTAAAGAGATAAATAGATTAGTTAGTTGGGGAGCAGTAGACTGATGACTGAGTGACCAGATGGGTAGGAGAGATAGGAGAGTGGGTGGACTGATGGATGGTAGGGTGTGAAAGGGAAGCTTGGTAATACCTCGGGGAAGGGAGCAGGCAGGCCAGGGGGTTGAGCAAAAATTGGGTAAGTGCTGGTGGGTGGCTAATGAAAGGATGGGGAGATGGTAAGTGAGCAGAAGAGGGCAATGGGATGGATGGGCATATGGGATGGGAGGTGGATGGGTGATGGAGCCATCCACGGCTTACCTGTGCTCTGGCCTTCACAGCATCGTACTCAGCCTTCATCCTCTTCTGGGCATCTTCATCCACGCTGGGGTCCCCGATCCTGTTGAACAGGGAGCCTGCCTCCTCCAGCAGCCTGTCCAGGAGCACAGCCTGATTGTCCACATTGTGCAGCAGCACCTGGGCATGACTCAGCTGCCACTGCTTCTCCTTCAGGCCCAGCTGCAGCTCCATGGGAGGCTCCAGGGCAACCACCATCTTCTGGAACCAGCGGTAAAACTCATCCTGGGCCAGCAGGTACTCACTCCAGTGCAGCCACACCCACTCAATGCGACTGTGGGACAGAGATGGCAGAGCTGAGAGGCCTGCCCTGGCTCCTGAGTAGAGAGATGCTGTCCCCCCACCCCCACCCCCATCATAGGAGCCCTGTTATAGGGAAATGATGACATCGTCTTACTCCAGGTTCTACATTCTCCTTCTTTCCTATGAGACCTTGTGCCCTGTAAGTAACCTCCCAGGTGAGGCCAAGCCCAGATCCCATCTACACCCTCAGCCATGTGCTGGGGTGATGAAGTTCAGGTGGCCCTGAGCCACCAGCATCCGCACTTCTGACTGTGAACTCCCTCAGCCAGTACACAAATCCTTCACTCTGTCTGTAGTGGGCCCAGGCCCTAAGCATATGCTGCCTGAAAGCGATTAGGAGAAGATTGCCTTGGGACTGTGCCTGATATTAGGCAGAAAATAAGCTATCTGCAGGCCAAAAAGTGGCCAGCAGGTAGGGATAGCAGATAGAGTGCCTGTGTGAATTCTCAGGGTAGGGTAGCTCTGCCCCTTCATCTGCCTCAGTTTCCACCTCTCTAGTGTGGAGATGGCTCTATCTGAGCAGCCAGCATCAGACATTTGTTGGTAATGTTGGGTACAGGGTTTGGAAGGCAGAAAGCTCTGTTCAGTCATGCACCACCATACTCAGATTTATATGAGCTCTAGGGATTTGAACTCAGACCCTCACACTTGCCCAGCATGCACTTTACCCACTGAGCCACCTCCCTAGTCAGGGCCAGGCCTCCTGTTCTGCTGAGGACACACACAGGAGCCTATTAGGGCTGCTGGTGCCACACATGGAGTGTTCAGTGTCCACCAACTATCAGCATTACACCTACGTGTTATTAGAATGAGGCGCTGGCCTGAATCCAAAGAGGATACGCCGTTCTGAGGACCCTTAAGCCTGGAGAAGTGTCACTCAGACAGGGGTCCCAAGCTGGTGTGGTGATGGGAAAGGCAGGTCTCTGGCGTCTGACCATCCCCACCTGTGACAATGAGTCATGTAGGTGACGGTCTCCTCCCACTGGCACTTGATATCCCGCAGCCGGGCCAGGATCTCAGGCTTCTGGCCCTCCCGGCAAGTGGCCAAGAGGGCCTCAGCCGCCCGCAGGACCAGTTCCACCTTCACGCATCCCTCGGGCTCCAGCTGGCAGATTTTCTGTGGATACAACAGCCAGTTTCCCACCATCAGACAGACCACCACCAGGCAGGCACAGACAGCGGCGCGGCTCCCTGAGCTGGATTCTGAGGCTGGAGTTGCTGCAGCTCAGCTGGAGGCCCTGCACTCCTCTGATGCAGCCCCTGGGCAAGCAGCTGAGGGTTGTGGGAAGGGAGAGGAAGCTCTGGAGTCTAGTCATGACCTTGCCCACTGGGCTGTGTCCAGCTCCCAGCTCAGACAGGGTTCACTCTCTCCTGGGATGTGCCTCTTTTGTCCTGTGCCCTGGCATGAGCAGATCAGCCGTTCACTCTTTTGCACAGAAGGGCAGGCAGCGTACATCTCTGTGTGTGTGGCCATGAGGTGACTCCCTCAAGTCTGCCGAGGCTGTTGTGGTCCCCACCCAGCCAAAGCTCAAAGGGAGTCGGTCACACTGCTTTGCCCTTTGCTCCCAGGCCCTGCACCCATGGGTGACAGGAATTCTGTAGTCCATTCCTGATGGGTGACTCATTCAAGGATAGACCAGAGCCATTCACCCAGTCTGTCTCTCCCAGCCTCTGTGTGTGTGTGTGTGTGTGTGTGTGTGTGTGTGTGTGCGCACGCGCGCGCACAAGTGTATGTATGTGGGTGAATATAGGTGTGTGTACCACAGTATGCATGTAAAGGAGGGAGGGAGGACAACTTGGGAGAGTCTGTTCTCTCCCCCTGCGGGCCCCAGGAATCAAACTCACGTTGTCAGGTTTATGAGGTGTCCAAGTTTATGCCAGCTTATGCCAGCTTCCGCTGTGAACTTGACAAAAACCCAGATTCATCTGAGGAGAATCTCAACTGAGGGATCTCCCAGAACAGACTGGCCTGCGGCCATATCTGAAGGAATTGTCTAGATTGCCCTTAATGGAAGAGGCCCCAGCCCACTGTGGGTGGCGCCATCCCTAAGCAGGTGGGCCTGGCCTGTAAGTGACAGACAGACAGACAGAGGGCAGTATATTCCTCTGTGCTTTTCCTTCAAGCCCCTGTCTCAACTTCCTTCAGTGATGGAGTCATCCCTTTCCAAGTAGCTTTTGGTGACAGTGTTTTGTCACAGCCACAGAATGGCACCTGAACACACTGTAGGCCCCCTCACCCTTTTGGTTACCTTGCCAGCCCTGTACCTCGTCTCTCAGGGATGCACCCTCTCATAGATGCCCTGCATCTTTAATCTCATCCTGTCTTCAGCTCCTCTGGGCAGAGGACGGGCATGGGACACGACAGGCAGATCACCTCAGCTAATGTCACTATTAATTGTTATTATTAATTGTTATTATTCCATTTCACAAACATAAGCTTGGCCTCCTGGTCAGGTGACTGGACTAATTCCAGGGCTATTTATAGACTAAGGGGTCACCCTAGGGTGACCTTTGTACACCAGGCCTATGACAGGCAGGACTTCAGTAAGCCACAGGTTAGCACACCGCCTGACCCTGCTGCTCTGGCTGTCGATAACTATTATTATTACATTTTTTTTATAGACAATGGAATTTCTTCATTTTCTCTTCTATCACCGCCCACTGACTTGGCTTATTGGCAGCTCCCCCTGGCCTAACCTCAAACTCAGTTGTCAGTTTTCTCAGATTCCTCTCTTGGGCAGCCTGGCTGTCTCGTCCCCTTCTCCTTGGATGGAGAAGGAAGGACTCCTGACATGCAAAGGTGGCCCTCTCTGACATGCAAAGGTGGCCCTCTCTGACAGCATGTGACTTCAGGCAGATCACATGACTATTCTCCAATGGCAGCATACCAATGCCTGCTACGTCCAAATTACATACTGGTTTCAAGCACATTGACAAAACATGCAAGCAGGCATTTTGCATCATTAGAGAGACTGTCCCCCAACACATGCAAACAGTCCCCACCCCTCTTCTTCTTCCTCATCCTCCTCCTCGTCCTCTTCTTCTTTCTCTTCTTTTTTCTGAGACAAGGTTTTTCTGTATAGGTCAGCTGTCCTGGAATTTGTGCTGTAGACCAGGCTGGCCTCGAACTCATAGAGATCCACCTGGCTCTTTCTCCCAAGTGCTGGGATTAAAGGCGAGTACCACCACCGCCAGCCTCCACCCCTCTTCTTTGCTTCGTACGATAAAAGCTGGTCAGGATGATAGTGCTAGATAAAAGCTAGTGCATGGTGGTAATGACTTCTCCCTCACATGTGTTATCCAAGAGTGAAATGTAAGTGTCCCCTCACCTTACCCGTCTCTATGTGGGACAGGGTCGATTGAAGAGTAGGGAACATCCTTACAAGAGAGATTTTGTTTGTTCTATGGGGTGGTAGGGTGTGGCAACTCACCCTTCCCCTTTGGAGATAAGTGCTGTAAACAGACTCCCACAGTAAGATAGGACTGACTCACTTCTCAGCCCTGGAGACAATTCTGCCTGTCTAGTGTTCACTTCACAGCTAAGCAAACAGGCTCCGGGTGTTGGAATTGTGGGTCTTTGGGTAGCAGTGATCAGCCTAGAAACCCAGTGACCTTGGCACTCAAGCTTAATCACTCTGGAGTGCTGTGTCACTCTGGCTCAAGAGGACTTACACTAGGCATCCCCCCACCCTCCCATCCCCCCACCCCTGGCAAATGCTAAGCTGCCCTGAGCAGGAAGGGCCTAGAAGCTGTGAGAAACCCGAGGATGGGACTCCAGTGCCCAACCCAGTGTTAAGTTTCAAACCCAGGCTCAACTGAGGTGCCTATTTAACATATCAAAGCAGATCTGGCCTCTGCTTTGGTTAACTTCTGGGCCCTTCTATTGCTCCTTTGGCCTCCTGGCTTCCATACTTCCTGCTCTCCCTCCCCCTTCTCCTCTTCTCACGTGGTTCAAGGTTGTGACCACTCTAGACTCTCCCAGATGTGTCTGCCCCTGGCTATGCTCTTCCACCGTGCCTACAATCAACTCTCTCCTCCACCATTCCCAGGAGCAGTCATGTCTTTCCCCTTTTATTTATTTATTTTTTTCATTCACCTAGGAAGCTGGGGACAGAGAGTAAAGAGAAGGAGACAGTGGGACTTGGGAGAGGATCTGGAGGCCACGTGACCACAAGTACGGCCTGTGACCCAGGATCTGAGCTCACAGGAAGCAGGTGGTCTCCTTCCCACTTGGAGGGCTTCGAGCATCCACACGTGTGCACACATGTACGCACACACACACAAACACACAGACACACGTACATTCTCACACAAGTGCACAAATACTCAGATACACACTCACAGACACACGTACACACACAGACAGACACGTGTGTGCGCACACACACACACACAGCCTAGCCTGTAGCTCCTTCTGACTCCCTTTCATTTCTCACAACCCACCAGCAGGTGCAAGGTTTCACACAGCACTCAGCTGAGGATGGGCACTGGAGGACAGTGGTGCCCGGAGGCCAGCTGGGGTCAGAAAAGACTGGCTACACTTCATTTCACTCACTCATGGCAAGCTGAAGGTATTCTAAGGAGACACAGTTCATGGGCTAAGGCTTAGCGTAATGACAGGAAATCGAGGAGCGTGTAGGCTTGTGAGGGGGGACAAGGAGGGTGTGTCACAGGCAGGAAGGATAGCTAAGGCTAGATGAGGATTGGTATTGTTTTGGTAGATAATGGAAACCTCGGAGACTCTCTTGTTGGTTAATCTCAACTGTCAACCTGACAGGACTGAGAGCCACCTGGGAGATTGGCGAAGCACATCTCTGGATGTATCTGGGAGGGCTCCGACCAGATTAGCATGTGTGTGCCTATGTACTTATCCCACGTGTGTGTGTCCACAGAGACCAAAAGAGAGTGTCAGAGCCCCTGGAGGTGGAGTTACAGGCAGTTACAAACTTCCCAGCATGCGTGCTGGGAACTGAAACCAGGTCCTCTGAAAGAACAGCAAGCAGCCTTAGCTGCTGAGCTGTCTCTCCAGACTCCCCAGTCTTTTAAATAAAGTTTTATTGTTTTTTTTTTTCAAGACACAGTTTCACTGTGTAGCTGTCCTGAACTCACTCTGTAGACCAGGCTGGCCCTGAACTCACAGATATCCACCTGCCTCTACCTCCTGAGTGCTGGGATTAAAAGGCATGTGCCACCACTACCCAATTACCTTATTTTTAATTATTTGTGTGTGTGTGTGTGTGTGTGTGTGTGTGTGTGTGTGTGTGTGTGAGTATATGCATCTAACCATAGGTACCACTGGAAACTGGAAGACAACAGATCCCCTACAGCTAGAGTTGCGGGTGGTTGTGAGCTAGGTGACATGAGTTCTGGGAACTGAATTCTAACCCTCTGCATCTCTCCAGCCTTGAACCAGTGTTTTAACCCCGCCCCAGTGAGGGTAGAAGTGGGCCAATATAGGCCCAGCAGAAGCCTTGGATTCAAAGAGTGGGGACCCAGCAGAGCCAAGCCTGAGCCAGCAGAGTTAGGAGACCCACCCAGGATGCACAGATGCCCCCCCACCCGGCATGGAAGGGCCAGAAACAGGCTCTGTCCCTTGTGACCAAAGTATGGGCAAGCAGCAGGGTCATCATGTGGAACTTTCTGGAGGATCAGAGCCTTAGGCCCAGACCACCTGATCAAAATGCATATTTAAGAAAAATGACCAGGACATCTGAACACACGTGAACAACTCGCTGGTCCCTCGGCCAGAGCAGGAGGGGGATGGCCAACTCCACAGCACCACCAGAACAGGGCCACAACCTACCTCTGTCTCACGCAGCCGTGCCTCCAGTGCCGCGCGGGGCCCCTGCGTGTTATCGTTGAGCTGAAGCTGCTCCTGGACCACCTTCATCCACGCCTGGGCATCCTCCACGCTCCTGTCAAAGTCTTCCTGGGGCTGCTGCGTCATGGCACCTGTGTAGACTGGGAAGGACCACACGAGGTCAAGGGCTGCAGAGAGACCCCAGGAAGCAGGCACAAAATGCCAGTCCCCACCCCCACATGATGCTGCCCAGTTGGCATGGCAGTCAATCCTAAGTGCCCAGAGCTGGAAGTGGGCAGGGAGAAAGCAGGCCTAGCCTCTGCAGTGGGAGCAGTAGGCTGGTAGAGACGTCCCCTTGGCACATGGCCTCTCTGTCCATTCTCTAGCTTGGGAGCAGGCTGGCTCCTGTCTACATTCTCAGGTCCTCCATAAGAGACTCTCAAAGCTCACAGAGAAGGCACAACCCCAGATGAGCTTGACTTGTATATATCCAAGCCCTCAACTGAAGGAACAATTGCCCCTGGCATCAGCCAAACCCACAAAAACCCAAAGCCCTCCTGAAATTAATGTGGTAAGGAGATCCATGTGAGCTTACATTGTCCCTACTTCACAGCAGCTGGGGGCTCCAGGAATGCTTATTTGCTTTCCTCCGTGGCTTGGAGGGGGACCCCTCACCTACAAGCAATCCGCTGGCTCAGCCCGGCTGATAAAGCCCACTTGTGCCCTAGCGACACCTGCCAGCTGGGGCAAGCCAGCTGCCCGCCCACCCACCCGTCTCCTTGCCTGAGCTGCTGCTCCTAACCTCACCCTGCACAGTAAACAAACTGTCTCAGATTTCTCACCCAATGTTCTTAAGATCCCACTAAGCCGGGGACAAAACTCTGTGTGTTCGGGTTCTGGGTGTCAGCTGATGGCAACTAGCGCCTGCTTTGGATTAAGGTTATTTACATCCACATTCTTCGTAAAAGGATTGGGTCTGACTTATCTGCCAGCCTCCCATGATGCCTTGCACAGTAAGCCCAGGGTTGTAGGCACGAGCCGCCCAGAATGGATGTACCTTCTAACATCAAGCATCTCCCCACGCCATTTTCTCACTATTGTGTTTTATTGCAGTGCGGGGAATAAAAGACCGGCTGTGCCTCTGCTGAAGAAGCGAACACTGAGCTACCTCCCAGCCACAGCACCGTTTAAAACGGCAAAATGGGTAGGACATGAGAGTCGAAGGTACCTAGGGCAGGAAGTAGAGTTAACTGTGAGCAAAGTACAATGATATATCTAAATCAGAAGTGATATATACCATGAATCATGAAGTTGAATATTCTATATGCTAAATAAGATAAAATTAAGACATAATAAAGTGGCTAACTGAAAGGAAGCTGGAAGCAACCTCCTTGCCCAACCACAGGGACTTGGCTGGATGTATTATGACATATGGCATACTTACACTCGAGACTCCATAGCAGCCCACAGAATGCAAGCTTAGCACAGGCTTGTGAGAGTTAACACGAAGGACGTGATACCAAGAAGTGAGCCAAAATTATGTAGTTAGTGACTATAACCCTACACCCAATCCCAGCACTCAGGAGGCAGGCACATCTCTGAGTTCGAGGCCAGCCTGGTCTGTGTTCAGAGGGAGTTCCAGGACAGCCAGGGCTACAAAGAGAAACCCCATCTCAAAAAAAAAAAAATAAGAAGAAAAAGAAAGAAGAAAGAAAGAAAGAAAGAAAGAAAGAAAGAAAGAAAGAAAGAAAGAAAGAAAGAAAGAAAGA